AAAAACTCCACACCACGAGGACGCACTTCCAGGGGCCCACAAGCTCACCCTATCATTAGCAGCAGCTCGCTTCACTGCTGCTGAGGCCCACACTACTCACGTGAAGCAGCTATACTGCACACTGCTTCCACACTACAGGCAGGACATTCACACAACTAGCACTCAAAGCGGCGACACCAGAGAAAACCACCCTGCTCACAGCTCATCCCCAGCTTAAATAGCCTCAGAGGTGATTGTTGACTGGATTCAGGTTGCAAACGAGGCTAACCAAGAGCAGCTGTGTCCTGGGGAGAGAGGAGAGTGAGAGAAACAGAGGGGTGGAGCAAGAGAGGAAGAGGCGGAGAGAAAAACCACACCCACACAAGGACAGTTTCAGGAGGCCCAGCTAGGGCCGTAACATCCCCTCCCATAAATACAAACCAGTGGTTTGGCACAGGATGTCCTACCCAACTTTTAAGTGGAAATCCACTGATGTTCAAGCTGCAGGGGAGTGGGTGGGGGGATAGGACCTCTGGGGCCCTCTTCCTGATGGAGCCCTACCTGACTCCTCTCACTGCTAAAGCAAGAATGGTGCCACAACTCATTGAAACAATACTTCATTTCATCAGAATCATTAAATGATTCTGTTAAAAACAACCACCCAGTGTACTTGCATGGCTTTAGTATGTGGAAGAGTGAACCAATAAAAATGTGAAAAGAATGGATTTGTTGATTATACAGGGATATGCTAAAAGCATTGCAAGAATCAATCTCGTTATTAGTTTTACCCTGTTTTTATTTATTTATATCCATCCATCCATTCGCTTCCGCTTATCCTTTTCAGGGTCAGGCGCTGGAGCCTATCCCAGCTGTCATAGGGCGTAAGGCGGGGTACACCCTGGACAGGTCGCCAGTCTGTCGCAGGGCCAATACATAGGGACAGACAACCATTCACACTCACATTCACACCTAGTGGCAATTTGGATTTTCCAATTAACCTATCCCCACTACACATTCTGTGTATTTAATCTATTTATTTGGTGAATTATAATGGTGTAAATGTGCAAATATATATGTATGGTATTTTGCAGTTCTTAAAGGAGGAACACTGTAATTTTGTTGTACGTAGAATGACAATAAACAAATTAATTCATTTAGTGCTTTCACTGTATCATCAAATTTCTCTTTCAGTTCTACACTCTCTGTGGAAATATTTTTGTTTGTTTTGTTTTGTTTTAACTTGTATTTATTTATTTTTTTAAATTTAACTGGCCAAAAGCTCTTAAAGCCTGTTATTCTCTGTTCTTCTAGTAAAAGTGACTTTTCCATTCTAAAATTTTTTGAGCAGAACTGTGGGATTGTAAGCCAGCATAAATGCACTCAAAATTACCCAGTTGTGTATTTGCAGGTGTGTCTCCCCCCCACTTCCCTCCAACCTCTAATCTCTCACTTGGACCTGGGTCACCTCTGCATGCAAGCGAGTGCTTCATTGTGTATGTCTGTGAAGGTTCTCAGTCATCCAGGTCATTGTAGTCTAAGAACTTTTCGTGCTAGCCAAAGGACTTGATTTTGCCATTTCTTTTCAACATTTGCCCGTAGTGGACCTCATCACAGCGACAGGAACCGTCATACAGATAAATAAATTATCACAAACAGAAGCAGAGCAAATCAGGATGGAAGTTTCAGCCACCCTCTCCAGTTCCAAAGTCCCTTCGTCTAACCTCACAATACAAGAAAAGAAGGCAGTTTCTCCCTGTATTTACGGACTTCCTAATAGCCACAAAGGTGTCCCATTCAGACCCATTGTTAACAGCATAAACTCAGCCACTTACAACATTTCGAAACACATTGCTACCATCCTAGCACCTCTTGTGGGGAACACATCACATCAAGAACTCCACCAACTTCACAAGGTCGACGACAAGGTCCAGAAACTTACCCTGGATCCAGATGAAACCATGGTGTCCTTTGATGTATTCTCTCTCTTCACTTGCATACCCACCATGGAGGCAGTGGAGACTGTCAGAAAGTGACTACAAGAAGACAGCTCGTTTGAAGACAGGACCAACTTCACCCCCGATCAGATTTGCATACTGTTAGACCTCTGCCTCACCACTACATATTTCTAATGAGCGTTACAACGAGGGTTTCTACAGACAAACACATGGCTGTGCCATGGGCTACCCTGTGTCACCTATTGTAGCCAACCTTTGCATGGAGGAAGTGGAAAGGAAGGCTCTTGGCTCTTGTAAAGGGAGAGTACCCAGCCACTGCTATAGATATGTAGACGACACCTGGGTCAAAATCAAAACACAAGAAGTGGAATCCTTCACAGTGCACATTAACGCAGTGGATAAGAACATCAAGTTCACCAGGAAAGACACAAATTATAACTGTTTGCCTTTCCTGGACTGCGCTGTGCACGCTGAAGAAAATGGCAACCTCAACATCGAAGTTTACCGGAAGCCCACTCACACGGACCAGTACCTCCTCTTTGACTCCCATCACCCTCTGGAACACAAACTTGGAGTAATTAGGACCCTACACCACCGGGCAGAACATGTTCCCTCTAAGCCTGAAGTGAAAAAGAGGAAACACACACACATAAAGGAAGCACTTAGAACATGTGGCTATCCTAATTGGGCATTTATAAAGTCAGCAAAGAGGCACAGAAAAGAAGATCAGACATCAACTAGGGAGGATGAGAAAGACAGACGCAATAACATTGTCATCCCCTTTGCAGCTGTGTATCAGAAAAACACAGGAGTGTACATCCCAGTGTACTTCAGACCCAGTAACACACTCAAACAGAAACTGGTTCATCCCAAAGACAAAACTCCTAAACACAGACTTAACAATGTGGTGTATGCTGTACAGTGCAGCGAGGAATGCCCAGACCTCTACATTGGAGAGACCAAACAGCCGCTTCATAAACAAATGGCACAACATAGAAGAGCCACCTCCACAGGACAAGACTCTGCATTTAAAGGGCAAAGGTCACTCCTTTGAGGATGCCAATGTTCACATTTTGGACAGAGAGGACAGATGGTTTGAAAGAGGAATGAAAGAAGCCATCTATGTCCACTGTGAGCGACCATCTTTGAACAGAGACGGTGGTTTACGACACCAACTGTCTGCCGTCTATAATCCAGTTTTGAGATCCCTTCCCAGACGCCTTAACGCCCACTCACATCCTGGTCCATCTGACCTCAGGAAATCTCATGATGGGGTGGGGCTAGGTTTCACAATGAGCTCTCCCGCAACCTTGGGTGATTGTGACCTACACCCATTTTCACACCTTCCCTCATGTGATTAGGTAGAGGATCATCAGGGGGTCCATTGTCCCTCTTGGTGGGTTACTCCCACAGAGCTTAAATCTGGGACTCTCCACCATTTGACCTTAGAACTGAAGAAGCTTCTCGGATGAGAGGTGAAACGTCTTCAAGCAACTTAAAGAAGTCCAGACGCTTTTCTTTGCAAGCCCCTTAGGCTTCATTGTGTAGTTATCTGAGTCTGTGCATATGTGCGGTTTGTAACAAGCAAATTCCAATCAAACATGTTCTGTGACTTGATCCACATGATGAGTTTGCAAGAGTGTTGTTCAGACTCTGGCCAGTCTGGAACTGTTTGTTTTTTGTAGTATCTGCTCCCGACAGATTTCACAACAATCAGCTAAAGTGGCCGCTGACACTAAGCCAGTTAACCTGGGCCTCTTTCTCACAGACAGGTAGGTTTGGATAACTTTACTCCATTAATAAATGAATTCATCATTTAAAAACTGCATGTATTGGGCAGCCAAATGTGCCTTCTTCTCCTCCAGAAGTGTTTTTAATTTTGAGATGTTGCTTAACTGACTAATGAATTGAACTGAATTGCACGTAAAAAATTTTTTTGAGTGCACGTAAGAAAAATTTGCAGGGGCCAGTGTTGCATTTTGAGGAGAAATTTATTTTGAGCGAAGAAAAGCTAAATTTGAGTGAACAAAATTCATTGCTGCGTGCAAAAAATGCATTTCAGTCTTTGCTATTATCCACACACACACACTATAGCAGCCCCTCTCGCTCAGTTTTTGCACTTGCGCTTCCTCGCAATGTGTTGCTTGCGCTCTCAACATTTCTGCCCGTGCGCGTTCAACTCTTTCTGTACACCGTTATATTTGTGCCACAAAACCAGCAACAAAAAAACCCCAGATGAAGTCATTTTCAAAATTTGCATGAAGAACCTTCCAACCAGTGGGGGTTTGTTGCTAAAATTATGCTCTGTGATTGGTGGCTCCATGGCCACCAGCACAGTGAGAACAGGCTTAAAAAGGTCCCAGCACAGCATTCACTGCAAGCTGAACAACAGCAATGGCTAATCTGATGCTTCTTCTTCTTATCCTGTGGGTTGGTGAGTGAAATATTGCACTTATTTCCTGTGTGTATTTTCACTTGATTTGAACTATTTCTCAGGTTGTGACAAAGCTGTCTTAACAAAGGATCATTTAACTTGACTTGGTTAAGTTTCACTAAATCATCAGATACTGTTTTTGTTCATCTTTGTCCTTTTTTTATTTTCATCAAATCTTTGCAGACACATTTCTGCTGTTTACAATTATAATAACTGAAACGAATATGTTGTTCTTCAGACAGTAGAAAAAAACAGTTGTGAGTAACTTATTTTCTTTTTCAGGCATCACAGTGAGCACAGGAGTAGATTTGCACAAAAGGGTCTATGGAGGTCAAAAGTGTCCAGACACTGAGCGTCGGTATCATGTGAAACTGATGGCAACAAATGGAATACATGAAACTTTCTGTGGTGGCTCACTGATCCATGAACGCTGGATTCTGACTGCAGCTCACTGCTGGAAAAATGAAACTGGATGGTGAATAAATAACAGTTTGACTTAAAATTGTGTTTTATAAGAATTTAAAAATAAAGATAGCATTTCTTATGCTCATGTTCACTAATTACAGTCAC